CTAAGTACGGTAAACAGATAGTTAGACTGAAATGAACCAAGTTTACCTATACTCTAAAAGTATAAAAACGTTGAAACATTAGAGTGAACGCTGAAAGGATTGTTCATGGACAATAAACATGTAGAAGTATAAAAAAGTCTCAATTTCATGAGCTTACAACGCAACTTAGAATTATTGTAGCCAGATTTTTATTGCTGAAAATTTTGATTAATATTACATTGCATGTTTAACTAAATGTTCTTAACATCATGTGAATCATATTCATAATGTTTACTTTTCCATTACATGGTATGAACTAACACTCAGTGCTTTCATAGATTAGTACTGTAACTAGTCGAACTAACCTTGATAATTTTTCGATCAACTATTTTCTGTATTACTCCTGTGTGAAAAGTGGTTTGGACTGCCAAAATTATATTTCTACATTATGTCACTTAATCAGACATTCAGACATTTAGCTAATCCCATAAACAGTATAGATCTATAAATACTAAACATGACTTATGCATGCATACTCAGAATTATATATAATGGAGGTAATGGTATCAATTAAAATGCCATGAGTATTACATGAAGTTCATATTCAGCCACTAACTGCCTGACGGGAGTAATTCCAGTGAATAAGCTTTCAATGATGAAATCAAACCAAAATAATAGTAGCGAACTAAATATCCAAGAGCTAATTTCATACACTATCCAATTAAGCATTAAGATTTATTGAAGAAAACTTAAGAATTGAATGCTGTCCTTCAAATCTTTTCAATTTATAACCAGCGACAGTTTATTTCAAGACCATATATGAAAGTTGACTAGCAATGACAATGATGCTGTAAATCATTGTATTAGTAAAGCCGTCTTATCAGTCTTACTACTACTAAGTAGTATATATTTCACGTATTCATAATATTATCCTTTGAATGTTCTTTTCCTATTATTGTAATGAACTGTATAATGTATTCAAAGATTTTCCTAAACAATTATCACCAGTGAATAATCTGGATTTGAATGGTTAGCTAACACTGAATAGACAGATTCAAAAAAAGGTTACATTATGTTAACAGATTAGTGGATCTGATCTAGATCTATAGGAAAATTTTCTCTGAGAAAACACCTCCGCCACGAGAAAGCAGTGAGTAGAACCTCCCTGGCAGAGGCAATATACGCGTGGCCATGTGAGTGCATTTAGAGAGGGAGAACGGAACTATCCCCACTCTCGGCCGTACCAGGGCATTTGGGGGCATAAATATCTCTAGTTAATAAGCAAATAAATCCCAATGGTATTTTACATCTATCTGAATAAAGCCTATATTAATGTGAAATACATACATGTATAATATCTATTATAAACTTATTGTTATTACATCATAAAGACAAGATAGTTTCGTTTATATTTTGTACTTAAATTTTATTAACAAACATTGTTGAGAACGTCTATTGATCGAACTTCTTTTTTTTTGGAAAACACCTATGAAATAATAAAAAAAATAGTCACATGATTCTTGATTAAGATTTTGTAGAAAATTGATTTAGAATTTTTCTAAAGTATAAACAAAAAAATATTCTTGAATGAAGGGAATTCATTTCATTTCGTGTACATTAAGCCGCCTAATTTATATGAACTAATTTTATTTTTATCAATAAAATACTTCACAAATGTAATTCTGTGTGTAATATTATACAACGTTGTAATCAAGTTTACAAGTGGATGATCATTAAAATACCTTTCAACAATCATATAGTTATGATCTAGAGAAGAATGAACTAATAGAATCATTTTTTTCTTGTTCAGTTAAAGTTGAATATGTTCCTATTCATTAGTAAGAGGTATCAGTGTTATAGTCCAAGTGACCCGACATTGTGTGAACTATTTTGATGTGTTAGGTGGTTGGTAGGAAACTCTATACCAAGGTTTTGTGGTAGTTGATACTCGTCAATAGGGCAAATGTTATTCCCTATATGGTTTGAACTCGGGTTAACCAACTTCACGATCGGTAACGTTACCACTGAGTACAAGGAGCATCATTCCCCCAAGATTGCAGGTATACCTGCAGCCCATTAGAACTTCGTACTAATAATTATCATGTGCTCACTAGTGACTGGCTTCAGGATATAACTCCTGGAGTTCTAGTGAGAAGCCGTGACCAGTGGAATTCAACCGTGTCATATGTGGCAGTTACCCAACGAAGACAATGGAAGATGGTTGCGCGATATTGTATATTGGTTGACATTAGACATAAACACCGTTGGATCAGAGCTAAGTGATCTCGAGGTTAAGCATTCGTACGAGACCGAAGGTCTTGGGTCCGAGTCCCTCATACAGGGTCGTAGACGTTCGCTGCTGAGGGGTCCAGTGCTTCCTAGTTTCGATCAGTCGACAGTAATTTTATTGTCAATTAAGATTAAATATGCATAAGCTAAATAATTTGGTATATATAATGAATGTGAAGAATGATTTTTTCTTAAAAAAATGTTTGCATTTTAAGAATAAAAAATGCACCCAAAAATTCATTTGAATCTCGTCTTAATTTATCGATCTCATGATATTTTGGCATTATATACTCTCAACAACAAAGAAAACTGATGTGTTTATCCATATAAAAAACATATTGATCGATTGTGTCCTGTCAGTTTACTATCAGATTTTGATTATTACCACTAATTAACAAATGAAATGACGCCAATTCATATATATATATAGTATGATATTAGTGACAGCTTACTGAATGACAATACATTGTTTTTTATTCGAAGTAAAATAAACTACTGAATAATTACATTGAACTTCCTCTTTATATTTTTGGCATCCACTAAATTACGCATCATCGTCTGTAAATCTTGGCTATAGAATAAATCAATATGATTAGTGAACATTAGGGGTCGTCTAAATGTAACGATTCACTTTGTTTGTTTGGTATTCCAGACTGATTCAGGATGCAGCTAAATATGTAATAAAAATCTGACCTTAGCAAACATATGGATTTATGTTTTAAGCTCCAACCTGTTGTTATTGTCTACCGGTTACTTATACTGCATGGCTGTTCGAATCTCAGAAATCTGATTGAAGATAAATCCCTTGAACAAATGAGAAATATTTAGTTACAAGAAATAAGAGGGACTTAAATTTGTCATTGAGAATAGCTGGTAAATATCTCATTGAGTGTATGTAAACGATTTGTTATATTGATTTGATGACTTCAAATTATTATATTTGGACACTGTTGTTTCCAATAATTTTTTCTTATCTAGATACCATTCTTTAATTCAGCACTATTACTTGATAACCATTATGAATTTATTTTTACAGCTCGTGATAGCCATAATGACTAAAAATAATTTCGTTTAATAGTTTAAATCAGACTATGGGTAGCGACATGAACTTAGTTACTCAGTGATTGGAGAATATTTGAGTATTGGTGTAAAAACAGGAATGACTAGCCAATTAGATTAACCTTTAAATTTTATCTCTTGATTCTCATGTTGAAGCTGATGGGGATCAAACGCGTGACGTCTCCTGTATACTAGATCTCATAACACTATACAACTTACCTTTTATGCCACAGATAATACATAATTAAGGATATATTTTATTTTCTCAACATTTTTTAGTGTATGCATAATGCTTCAATCAGTATATGATCATTAGCGTAGAAATGAATTAACATAAATCCAGTCAGTAATCAGCTTTCTAAATGTTTGCGGAAAACAAAAAACAAGGTAGACTTATGCACCAACACGTTTGAGAGGAAACTTTACTTCTCTTGAGGTAACAGGCTTGTCGTAAATGGATGAATCAACTGAGATAGGGAACTTCGGAAGTTATTCACCGATTAATTAGAAGCCTTCTGTGTCACCATTTTCCAAAATTTTCATTTATTGCGATTGACTGTCCTGTTCTAGATTTATCGTAATTAATTAATTTTTTTCGTCAATCACGTATACTTGAATATTTCATAAAATATCTACAACCTATTGGGAATCTGATTACTAAGAAACTCAAGAAGTGCTGTGATATGCACTACTTATACGGACAGATATAAGTAGTATGTAGAGGAATTGGAATGCTCACCAGTAGATAGAAAGGAAGAGGAAAGAAAACAGAAAGCAATCGGAAGAACAACAGGATTAGAAGAACGATGGAGCATGTAAAGGAAAACTCAAGGAAAATGAGCAAATAATGTATTTAGGGTATGATTCCCATATTTCATAAAGGTATCATGTGTTGTTGATTAAACAGTAAATTGGTTTACCGTAGCTGAGTTTTCCCTCATTATAGTGCTACCATGATGATTCGCAAATCATCCTCTTATCCTTTTGTTTTTCGGTGAAATCAGCTGGATTTGACAACATACGCAGATGTTGTGGAAACAATACTGATCGCAAACATTCATGGATGAGTGAGAATGTTAGTTGATCATTGTTTGAATATTTGTAATTCATATAAGCAATCATGCAAGCTTTCAATCATTAGGTTACAGATTCAAATAGTGCCTGCTACATCTAATCCGGGTTGGGTATTCGGATGCTAAAACCGACCTTTATGTTTTAAAGCTGAGTGCAAAAGCTTATCGATTGACACATGAATTAGTTTTTTGTTAATTGTCCATTAAAGAAATATTAAGAACAACAGTGTATCAATTCACAAGTTCTAGTGTTGAATCTGTATGTGGTAGCGATCATGCACACGCCCAATAATAAGAACCTACAAACTAAACTGATACAAGTTGGAGGATCCAAATCAACATAAAATTAAATACATCCTAAATAAAAAGCGCTCCATTTAGAATTATTACTATATCAGGAAAGCACAATTCATTTATCAACCGGTAAGTTTACGCACTCTGCTTTAAAACATAAAGGTCGGTTTAAGCATTCGAATATCCGACCCGGATTAAATGTAGCAGACACCATTCGAGTCTGTGACCTAATGGTTGAAATCTGGCATGAATGGATACATGAACAACAAAGCAATTTTTTGACCTGTTAAAAAACAAACCGAACCGTAAGAGAAAATTATTTTTATTTGTAATGTTAACATCATTTATCTCCAATGTGTAGTTGATCTGGAATATAACAACAAGAGTAAGGGTAAATTAATAGCATAACAATAATAGTAAAGAAGACAATATGGTGTAAGAGAAAGAAAGAAAGTAGGTTCGATTTTTATTAAAAACACAAGGTGTTACAGTGGAGGAGAAAAACAAACAGATTTGTTTACATTACATTTGGCGCATATATACTTGTCATACATCAAATAAGATAGCTAATGAAAAAGCCACTACTACTAATTTGAGTGTTATAATTCTGATTAGAATAAGCAATATTTTGTGTTTGTCATTAGTGAATAGATCACAAAGAAGAAAAAGAATTGTGCACAATAGTACATTAAATCAATTTCTTTTAATTAGGTATCTCGGACTGGAACATTGTACTGGCAATAAGCATGAATAATAATGTTACGATTTAATCAAATAAGATTATGTGATCATTTAACATTTTTTAAAAATTAATGTTACGTACATAAATAAAACGCAATTTGGTCCATATATGTTTTAGATAGAAAGATCTTTTACCAAATGTATTTGTAAAAAAAGATCATTCGACTAAAGACATAAGAAAGAACGTGATAGAAAGAGGAAAACAATTAATAATTTCACCAGCCATTACCATCATTGACATTGTTGTCATGGCTATCACACCACAGTTAGCAGAAATGATAGCTAACGATACATGGAAGATGACAAAAGCAAGCGAAACTAAAGAACAGGAAGATGCAATCACCAATAATAATAATAATAATAATAATAATAATAATAATAATAATAATAATAATAATAATAATAATAATAATATGGGATCATTTTCACCCAATAACTTTTGTTTTCGATAAAAAATAAAACAATATGTTATATGACAAGACCGTATTAGATTCAAGCATGTATTAAATTAATAATGTAAATAGAGAAATGAATATAAGTCGACAGGGAAAGAGAAAAAAGTTGAGAAAAATTCGGAACCTATTCAATGAAATGAGAGCGAGAAACATCAAAACACAGAGAAAGAAACAGCTTGTCAATGCGGATAAATGATGATAAGGATAATGAGGAGAAAGAATATGCATGCAATGTATACACAGGTAGTCCTCTGATAAAAGATAAAATAAGCACAACGAGTAGGGCGATCAAGTTGTAGAGGAGGATAGAAAAACAACAAATGAGATAAATACACAAATATGTGCGACCGCAACAAAATAGATAATAACAGAAGTAATGCATATAATGGATATTTTGTGTAAAATACACTCATACTATATGAAAATGTTATCAAGTTCTTAAAACAAACCATGATGGATAAAAACTTAAATCGAAGCAAAAGGAAAACAAGAGAATTAAGATCACAGCATTAATACACAAGAAAAATCTATCGCTTTTTTCGAAAACTGTTGAAACTTTTACTGAAGAAAAACAAAATGTAATAGTAATCTGCATCCATCACCCTTTATTGTTATCATTGTCATATGCTGTTTTAATTTATAACGGAGAAAATAATCAACACAGCACCTAGAAAAAAGAAGTATTTCTTGTGTATGTAAGAAGGAATGCGAATACATGGGCACTGACCTACTATTTTTAGAAATAATATTGCTCACTTATGGCCCTGACAAAATTAAGAATTCAACAAATTACACTTTTGTTATATAATGTAAATTATCTGAAACTAGATATTTTGAAAATGTTATGAAGTGTTTTGCATTGAATAAAGAAAGTGAGAGAGACAAGGGATAATAATGAGGAAGAATCTAATTATCATTGATCATTAACGAGACAGATTTATATCTCCACTCTTTTTGTTGATAGAAAAAAGTATATATTATATACAACAATTATTATTATCATATGGTTGATTTAATTAATGAACAGATGATGCATTTGGATTAGAAATATCATCACCACCCCCATTAGCAATTAGAAATGGATTACTAATGCCTCGTCCACTTGATGTATTCGATACACCAGCTGTAGCTCTATCCACCCAACCTAAATCGAATGGATCCGAAAGACAATCAGGTTCTGGAGGTAGAAGAGCAGGTGGCAATGACGATGGTGATGAAGGTTGCCAGTTTGCATTACTAACGTTTCTTCCATCAATCAATCCGATCGATGATGACCATGGATTTGTGGAACCTAGAGAAACAAATGAAATAAGTGTAAGGAGACAAGAGAAAAATATCGAAAGTAATGGGATAAAATATATGATGAAAGAGTAGTGAAGATAAGTAGGTAATAACAATGAGAATTAACAATGATAATAATAACACATGAATTGAAACAGCATCATCAACTATAATTTAACAACTTCACAACCACCTGATTTTAAAACACCATTGGAAGGATAAGTTAGATTTGTTTGAAAATTCACTGTACCAGTAGGAGAACTTGGTAAATTTGAACTATACTGAATAATAGATTTGTTAAATTGTTGCATCTGTGGATATGTGACTGCCCATGGACTAGAATTAAAAGTATTAGTCGATACAGTTGGAGCAGCAATTGGTGGTCCGCCTAAAAATGGTGAAGTTGGTGTAGAACTGATAGTTGAAACAACAGCCGTTGGAGCCTAAAAATACAATTATTATTATCATTATTATATGCAAAGAACATAAAAATGTATTTATAATGATAAACCAATAAACTTTATCTACAAAATAACTAAAACTCATTAAAATGATGCACATACTGAAAATTGTAAGTTAACCGTAGTATCCTCCTGACTTCCGGTTTCGTTCCGAACAATTCATAAAAATGGCACAGAATTTAATAATACCATAATGATTTAACTAATTTATGGCCGGATTTTACTGTACCTAAGTATATTGGTGAAATGTACAATAATTATGATAATAATAGTAATGATATGTTTTAGCCAAGTACGAATCAATAAAATCACGAGTTCCTATTCAGGTTAGTTTGTGAAATCAGTATAGACAAATACATATAAAAATCTTTTCTATATATCCGATGAGTATTGGACTTCAGTATTGCTGAACAATAATTTATAAATATGGTGTCATCTGACATTATTTAAGCCATTCAGATATATATTGGAGATATATGAGTGAGTTGGTAATTGCCCGTGACTTTCTTTGCATTCATCAAAGAAATACTTAATAGTTTAATCACTTCAATTTATATTGTTAAATCATCTATTGAACTGGAACGACCTATCTACAAACAACTGGCATAAAACGTGAAATAAACGCTTTTTCATGTTCCTTCATAGTGGTCACAACTGCCAAATTGTGAATAATTCTCAGTTAAATTATCTAAAATAACAAACAGTAAATTTCTTACTATTTTGCCTACTAATACCACATCTAATCCACACAAGCAAATAAACAATGTCTTTATAGAGTTTTACCTTGGTCGCTTTACTCTGAGTATATTTACAAAGGAAGTCAAAGAGCAAACATATTCAATATACATTCAAACCGTCCCAGTTAGCAAATACTAAAAAATTTACTTTGTTGGAGATCTAAACATAACTATTATGACACATTCAGTGATTTAATGGTAAATATAAGACGTTGAAAAATTATCAACTGTTAAGTACCTACTGACTTTTGACATTTTTGTTTACTTTGAAACATAGAAACCACTAAACAATGCACGATAAAAGCCAACAAGATTACACACTAAAACTATGATACGTAAATACTTCTATCAATGGCGAAAATTCGGTACGATGTAAAGTGTGAATAAACGTGTTCATGTTTTCTTTATTGGTCACCTACTTGAAAAGATTGATGAAACAATTCAAATAATAAGTCAACTAATAAATTATTCCAGGACAAACAACTTTCTGCTGATAAACAACATGTTTGTTTATGACACCTAAAAAATATCGTTTTACGTTTGATATTTATGAAAAAGTATGACAAAGATTCCTAAGTTTTCACTATATTGACTCCAACTAACAAGAAAATATCATTTACGTATTCTAAGCCAATCATATCCAGTTAAGTGAAACTAAAATTATGAATGAATGCATAGTGAAGAGATAAAATATTGTTATGTAGTAAACTACACTTGCTTTGGAACTTAGTAGTGAAGAACCTGTGATTTGTTGGGCTGTCTGTTGTTGCAATTCCATCTGATAGTGCCGTTGTATTGTAGCTGGATTGATTGGAGCAGCAGAAAAAGGATCCGAAATAATTGGAGGTATAAATGCCTGTGATGCTCCAGGATCAAGATTGAAATCACTTTTAAACTGGCTACTAGGTACAAATGATTGAGTTACTACAGTTAGACCATTCATAATTGAAAGGTTCGAAGATGAACTGGCCACTACTATGAGTGGGCTACAATTAGACGTAGAACATACAGTAACTAATTCGTTTTTTTCAGGTTGCCCATTATTTTTAGCACATACTCCTAGTTTCGTTGGTTCGAATTCTGTAGCTGGTTCCTCCGCTATGGGTGCGCCTTGAAAATAGATAAAAAGGAACAAAACAAAGATGTTAGAAATAGTCTATGTAACATAATTCTTCGATCCGTAAAATACTAAATAAATAGTATATCTCCAACTGAACTGTATAATCTCGATGGGAAAAATACTTTAAAAAACCCAGCACAAATGCGAATTAACGGTTAGACACTACAATACCACTGAATAGTTTAAGTGTTGAATGGATAGTTCCACCAACCAACGACTACTTAACCCGTTAAGATATTACGGAAATTAAGTAATTTAACGTATATGGAAACTAACTAGAACATAGCGTTATGATGAGATAAATAATTAGTATAATACTCATCGACCAATTATTTGTTTTAACTAATTTGTCAACTATAGCTTTATCCACTCTGTTTTGAGTTAGTTTCTGAGTCTGGGAGAGAAAATAATCGGAGTTATAGCAAGTATTCAATGGATCTTATATAATGATGACTAATCAAAACGTTTGTAAATCAAGTTCAATATTGAAGTACTCAGAATGTACCTAAAGTGAAAAGCGGTATGTTAATCTTTGATTGAACATCCCATTAATCAAACTGAACCAAGATAATACAGTCAAAGGTGTTTATAGTTGTCACCGGATCTTACAAAGATACCACATACATTGATTAATCGAATTCAGTAACTAAGTATAGATTTATGCACAGTTCTAAGTCATACTTTTTGAGAGATTATAAGTGATACTACTTGATCTCTTAAACCAAAGTAGGCAGAGTTTGGGATCTGAACCTATCACACTATCACTAGATAACAAATGTATTAACAACTCTACATCACTGCTGTAAAAATTTATATTACTATAGTATTATAACCGTTTTTACATAAGTAGAACCACAGCTGTGATGATTATTATGCAGTTCGTTATTTTTAAATTCATGATTAATAAGTCCTCAAAATTTTTTTCGCAAACCGCCTAACAATTAATCAGATAATTTCCTAACATTAAAATTGATAAAACAAATGCTTCTTTGAATTTTCTCAGTACGGCGATGAACAATGTGATGATAACTCTTGCAGTGAGCTCAATAATCACATACATAAATATCTTACAAAGTAGAAAATACTGATACATACCAACCCTGAATATATTTAAATAAGACATCTTGGCTACAGTAGTACTTCCTCACAACCAATCCCAATAGCATGGTTTTTCGTTAACTTACGAATTAATAAACGCGCTTGTGCATGACCGCTAACGAAAATCGTAGCACCATACCAAATGCATGCACATTAACTAGATATTGATGTACTTAACAAAGTTGAATACTGACCCACAAAAAAGCCTTGTAGTTTTCAAAGTGTAGCGGATTTCACATTCAAATATTACTGTGATAACGATAGAATTCAACGTTAAATTCGCATCTCATAGAATTCTTTAGTGACAAATATCACAGATACCGGGGTAGATAAACCACTCTGAAGAAGTGGCTTACACCAAGTCACGAAACGTCAGAAATACAATTTTATACTCATTGGGAATATAACAAAAAATATATTTACTATTATCATAAAATCATCAGTAATCGAACAACTCATAAACTATCTAGTGAATTGCTTAATAATTGATAATATAAATTATATACCGCAACTGAGTAATAATTGTTCATGACAAAGTATCTGTTGTCTTGCTTCTTCCGTTTGCTGACGATAATTACAAGAAAACTACACACAGAGGCGATTGTATCAGTTTCATTTAGTGGAATATAAACCGCTTACTGTTTGCTATAATGTCAGTGAGTGAAACTTATACAGTGTAAAACCGATTAGGATTAAATAGTATCCAAGAGTTGACGAGTATCCAATTGATCTATGTAGTTGGCAATCAGTCTGTTCATTATCACAAAATATCATCTTGCTATTGTAGGAGAAAGCATGTTCCATTTACAAAAATCCAGATATTCACAAGAAGTTGTCTACCACAAACAAAATAACATATGAAACTTCTTAAAATGACATAAATAATCCAAGTGAGTGAAGTTACATAACCTGTAACATCACTTAACGGTTTATTAAATGTCTTAAAACGCTTTATTTGAATGATACATTTACTATACACAAGTATAATGGCATTAAATACCTTTTGGAAAAATTAAGTCCTTTATGGGTTCAAGCTAGAAAAAAAGTATTTCAACTTTAATGAATGGAATGCTATGTGCATAATGACATTTATAAAGAACATTAATAAATTATAGTACAAACAATATGATCAATAAGAAAGGTTGTATAAATCATTTACACCTACTTTGAATTATTCCGGTCAAACGGCGTACATTTGAAGGAACTCCTTCAAGACGTAATGAAAGATCTCTTTTGAAAGGACTATTCTCTTGTAATTTTGGAAATATTCTTAGCGAACCCTGATTAGAAAGGGAAAGTAAATTCTAAAATTTAACAATTCACTTGCATAAAAACTTAGTTCTCGGAAGAAACTATGACTTACAATACGAAGAAATCTCTAGTTAAATTCTGTTCTAAATGTTTAAAAACGTTAGAATCATTCATTTTAAATTTATCATTAATTTGGATTATGATTGACAGTGGAGCCTAAAACACATGTTTCATCCTATGTAGGACTTGTCAGTTGAATGTACCTGCATCCCAGTAATATATACACTGAAACTCCAACACAGTACTTATCGCTTCACGTCAGTCAGTTAGCAACTGACGCTTCAAACGCCATTATGGTGTCGGATAAACTATGAAGTTCAAATAATTGTTTAAAGAAATAATTAACTTGAAATTTCAGATGATACCAAGGCATTTTCTCAGATAGAACATACATCTACATATACTGAAGAAATTTAAGTCCTTAACATCAACAACGATGAAATGTGAACCCTTACGAATATCCATAATAATACTCATGATACTGATACTAATAATACCAATACTAATACTAATAATACTAATGCCAATAATACTAATAGTAATAATACTAATACTAATAATGCTAATACTGATAGTACTAATACTAATGATACTAATACTATTACTAATAATGATAATAATGACCGTAATTATACTTATTGACCAAATTAATTATCTTTATTTCATAGCTTTGTGGATAGAACATCAACGTTTAACACGACAGGTCCTGAACTTGAGTTTTAGTATGAACATCAACACTAGGCATAAACGTACACACAGACATCAAGTCCCAAATACAAAGAAAAGTGCCTATTCGATTTTACTGTTACCCGTAATTTAAAGTATTTACGATATTATAAACACCGGAAGTTTGTTTGAAAATTCTCTTAGAAATACATGACCATATTTAAAATATTTCTTTGTTTTTCAAATATGAACAGTGTTTTGAACCTAAGAAAATAGAGATCAAACACCAAGTCTATGATTTGTACGAGTTCAGTATGGCCTAACGATATACAGGATGACAGTATTCTAAATATTTATAAGGCACGTATACAACAACTATTTAGAGTACAGATAACTTCTCAAGGAACGACCTTGGAAAATAGAGAAAAGTAACATCAAAAGATAAGGTGTCCAAACAAGAGAAGAAAAAAGTTCATCAGAAAGAACATGAATCTGGAAGGCAAGGAGCAACTTTGACTTGCAGAAATAAGTAATTTAAGTATAAACCAAAGAAAAACATAAATTACGAAGTGTTCCTAGAAACACTTGATCTTGTATGTGGTTGTTGATGCACACTGTATACGAGACCTAATTTAGAACAAACTGAGTATTCAACACTCGCCCAACTGATGTCACTTCGTAATGAAAAACACACTCGAAATTAGATAGAAAGAATATTTACAAAACTACTTAATTTCATTATGAAGATGTAGAACAAAATAGGGAAGTAAATACGATGACAAATAATAGTAGTAATTAGATGGAAATGTGAAATCGGTTGTTACACGAAAGGATAACCAAAAATAAATTCATTTTTGTCATCGACTTTTTAACCTATGTTGCATGTTTATTACGGACAACAGAAAAAGTTGTTGGAAATTAATCCATTAACTAATCACCGAAATAATCTATTTACAAGTCCTTCCCTAGCTGACATCTGTACATTGTTTCTTTGCAATTAGTCAGTAGTCACTAAGCAATCATCGTTTGTATAGTCTTTGTTAAAATTACTCCATATCTTGACATTTTTGTTGCTAAATCCAATGAATAGTCTGACTCGCATAATAACTTAAATACGGTGTGCAGTTATCAAACTGACGCGTTTTGATGTTGATAAAATATTGAATAAAACAAACAAAAAGTACCTACTTGTCGCTCAATAATTGATGGACTAGCATGGGGTCGTGGGATAGCTCCAATATGGTTAACTGGTGAAGACACCCGAGTTATAGTGGTAGGTAATGTTGAAGATATATTATTAGGTTTTGGCACTGGGTCGACTACAATAGTAGACTGAGGATCCAGTAGCCGTTCAGCGAGAGTAGCCTTTCATAGAATGGGAAGAATTTATCATACGTTGTTAAAAACAAACAGAAATAAAATATCACAATGGAACATAAAGAACTACAACGATTATAATCGTGAATTAATAGATAGACAGTTTGACTGACGCCATCGACGAATCACTCATTCTCATTCAAAAGCTATAATCGCTGTTCATAACCAAGTTAATACATAGTTATATGCCTTATCAAAATAATTTCAAGTCGTATTCCTACTTTTTAATATGACATAAAGTACACAACATTGAAATATAAACTGGTTAAAATTGATTAATTCCAACATATGTAGCTCAAATTAATCAACAATGGTGCAAATATATTCATTTTTTATATTCCTAAAGAGACTTCATGTACTTTTGTCTCATGTTTTCCTCGCCTTATTATCATTTCCAAGTCGCTTATTTTCTTTACTAATATGCTAAATGAAACGGAATATGAATTAAAGGCAATAGCAACCAAGACAGAGCCACAAGGGTTTGAACCATAGACCTTCGGTCTCGTGCATTAATACTTAGCCCTACTCGTAGGTTTTGTTCTAGATTATTACCTAGAAACTATTTACTATGTTGCCACATCGAAAACATGTTTGCCGCTATGAGATACAGTCTGATGTTAGATGGTTGGATTCAATCAACAAGAAGTCGTAAAACTGAGTTTCATGTTAGCTGACACTCATCAGGGTAAAAAAGGAAATAAGAGAGAATCAATACTTCCACAGATATTTGACTCCTCGTTGACTAGTTTTGCAATCAAAAACATTACCATGACTGAGCTATTCGGGTTGTGACTGACTTCCTGTAGGATTAAGATATCTTTATTAAATTACTTATAGGGTTTATAGGATGATAATTTTAACACAGAAGCATCTATTTGGGATTTTTTTATAAACGATCCAAACTGGAAAAATATTAGTAGTAAGGATATTTCACTATGATATACTTAAATGTATATAACTTTTATACAGGATTTTAGGCATCAATGTAAAATCACAACATTATTCACTAACTCCAAACTTATCCGGAACTAAGTATTCATAAGTTGGTAAGTATCTCTCATAGAAGAACTCACTACAGGTAATTTTTTACCAAACAAGATACTCTGATTAATCCATGCACATTTCATTTACGGATGTCCCACAATATTGTCATTTCGATTCGTGCTGAACATTTTGGTATGTCAAGAAATAAAACAAAGTTACATGATAAACTTTGTACTTGATGTGAGGACAAATACAATATTTATTCGAGGTATTCACGAAATACAACTCACTAGATATTTCCGAATAGCCTTGTTTTTCCTACCTTTGGTGTACAGCACTTACGCTTAGTAGTACTGGGGTAAATTCAACGTATTGAGTAAAGAAAATGTGAAATTGTAACCTTCAGACCACCTAACTAGAAACCTATGAGAGTTTTGAACCTAGGGTTTACAGCGGAGAGCGTGAACATAAACGAACTTTAAAATGGATACAAACAGAAAAGTATTAGTAGCTACTGATCGCTTGGATGTTAAAGATGGGACCAGGAAACCGTCGCTACTCAAAAATTTCCGCAGCTCTTAAGAGCAATAGACTGTCTTTACGGATATCAATTTTTGGGCTTATTGCCTACTTGACATAAATACTGCAACTGAAATGACAAATTGAAACATTTCCAGTGTTCGACAGTAAGTCGAAAATTAGATCATATAGACGAATTAAACTAAAAAATAGGGTTATGATTCAGTTACTTTAAAGTGATTAAGATGTAAGTTTCATTGACATACCGGACGAAACGATCCAACACGAGCGAAAGTTGGACGATCATCTGAAGCCTCCAACTGAAGAGCATCTCGTTCACGTCTTTGTTTCTTCTCCAAACATATAGCGAACGCACACCCGACAGCATGAGACAACCGTTCACCCTGTATTTAGGCAGGAATTTGAAAATTTACTGAGTAAAATGTTTTAAGTTGAGCTTTAGCAGAAATTTAATCGAGGAAAGTATATCCTTAGTCATTAAATTACACTATAAAATATCTCATGCCACTAGACACTTACAAATGTGTGTGTTACCGACAAAACCGACTATTACTTTTTGATATTGCTATATTTGAAAAGATTACGAGTCCACCTAATCTGAGAACGGAACGAAGACTCCGTGACACAATGACAGATAAGATAGCTATTCTGACGCGTCTCAGCCCCAGCTAACTAGAGAGAGACGTCCAAGTTTGGAAGAGGAAAATTTATCCCACAAGCAGCCAGAAGCACGAACAACCACGACAAGTCTAGTCGGATATACACCCGTTTATATATTGATTCATGCACCAATTTTTGATTAATAATTAGAATAAAACCACATACATGAAAAATAGTTATAACAAATATGCTCAGTATAGTTCATGTTAACTTAATACAAGAATATCGTATGTTATGCAGAATACAATGTCATACAGGTAAACAAAACAAATACTACACTGAGTAATCATCACATTGAACTAAAACGGAATTAATGATGAACAAAAGTTATAATAAGTAAATCAATCTAGTTTCGACTTTTCATCCCGTCATATCAGATATCAGCAGTGACTGGAAATCAGCACCTCCCGACCCGAGCCAATACAATCGGAAACATCACACAAACTGATACCACGTATTAGTCTGGTAGGCCTCAGTCACATCTCAAATCACTTTTGTTCTACCCACCACTGTCCATCGTGGTTGCCGGGCATAAGTAACGTGATCTAAAGATGATAGAATCATTAATGATTGTAACAAGTGATAACGATGATATGGTGTGAACTCCATAGTAGTGGCACAGTTGCATTAATCCTTTATCTTCATCTAAATATTATGTGATATTTTAAACTCTTCATTGCATGATTTCACCGGTTCATTTGTTACTGCATTTTTTACATTAAGATTATAAATGCAGTTTAGATCACTTCCTTTTCTTTGTTGCTCATCTTAACAACTTCCTTGATCGTTGCACCGATGTGGTAACTTGGACAAATGCACATTTGTTCCAAGTCTTATGGTGATGATAACCAATAGAATCGCAATTTATCTATTGAGATTACTTGTTTTCAGGTACCCCAAGAAAGAGTATCCTTCCAAGATGTAAGTAACCAAAAAGTGATAAGCGCCCCCACATTTTCAGAATCACTGACTGAGATAGACGATTAAGCAGATCTAAATCCCAAGAGTTACACCAGTTTGCTAAAGACAGTGGAAACGTCGCCCCGATGAGTTCCAATTGGAGTGAACCTGAGTTCAGGTTTTATTCCAGATAAATACCAAGCACAGTACTTCATCAAAATAGTAAGCTTTCAGGATAGCTACCACTTCATCAATACGGAAAAGCAACGTTAAAATATGACAGTCCCAATAAGTGGAAAACTGGTCACATAAATGCGAAGCGTTATCAACTCATAAAAAGTACATTTAAATGTTACGTGTCAACGAAAAAATCCAACCAGAAACAGCACGAACACGATACTCTTGCTACTCACCGTACCACAATATTTTATAAAGGCATCTATATACCATCATAACAAAAATGTAGACAGATCTACTATATGTTCAAAAGCTTACGGATTCCTTGACGGCAAGAAAGGCGTGACACATCCAACGGCGGGTAGCTCCATCGCGACATATATATGCAAATCCTTTCTCGTGATTTCTATCAGGAGCACAAAATGAAACTTTTTCAATTGTCTGATCGACGATAAGATGCTAAAACGAAAATAAATCCATAAAATTCCAAAGCACCTGGCTAACGTCATCTGAAACGCGTAGAGCATCACCACTGACAGATAAAACAGCTTTTTGAGGTTTCTTTGAAATACCATTGTATGTTAACCAAAGAAAATATGACAAACCTTTGATTTTCTTAGAGCTTTAATCGCTTCTTCACATACTTGCATTCCTCTTGACTCATAAACTTCAATATTCCCTAAATACTAAAATAACATGTAACATACATTATTTCGAACAAACCTTAACTTGGAAACTACAGAATCCCTCCTTGATTTTCACTTCATCATCTAGCCATTGTTGTGGTTTCGACGAATCACCAGCATCACTCTTATTCTGCTTTTTTCGTTTCCGAAAGCTGAATGTTCTTCTTAAACGATTCATCCCTGACTACTTAATTTGACGTAACTTGTACACATCGATGTAAGCCATTTAGTTTAGAAAATAATCTGAAGTGGACATTTGAGGGAAAAGAAATCAAAATAAGGTTTGGATGATTTTAACGCAATCTGTTTTAAAGAAAAATTACCGTAATATTTTGGCTCATTTATCAAAACGTTTTAAATACTCATGGGACATATTGGTCTTGCAAACGTTTTCTGTTGACGTTAGATATATAAAATTATATGAAAATAATGAAAAAACGATGGTTGAGCACTAGAAGTCAAAACTCAGTGAGACAAAAATTAATTGGGGAGCAACTGCACATGTTGTTGATGTGTGTGTTTTCAGTGGGATTACCCTTTATTATCTCTTAAATCTACTCGATCGTTACAGAATAGAAATGCGAGATTTATTGGTAGTTAAACGGCAGAAATTACGAAAAATTTACTTTAAGCAGTTAAGGAACTTCTAACTGTACAAAAAGAGGTCGTGGACCGAAAACAATTCTTTTACAAATAAGTGTTAGATGTAGTTTCTCCGGGCAATCTTCCTGCATATAAATCATCTACTTAACATCTTGGCAACATGAGTTGTTATATTCATAGGTTTCGAAATAAGGAACGTTTCGGATAGCTGTTCTTCGCCAGAGTATAGCCTGAGACGTATACGTACTGGCCCATGTTACCATACAGTAGGATGATACTAAACAATTTCATCATCTACACATGACAAAAATGATATTAAATTAGGGCCTCATACAAAAGAAGTGACAATGTTGTGAAGAAATGAGGTTGCGGAAGATTTGATTCAAACACATAAACATTGGTACAAAGAAGCACCAAATAGATATGCGCCACATAAATCATCCGATTTGCATGAGGGCTAGAATACTGCCTGGGCGCCAAACAGAAGAAAATGGTTTTCTTAGGGGGCCACACCTGGAGTCTTTGGTCTGAAGGTCTAATCCACAAGGCGGTGGAGAAACGTTAGGAGATTCAGTCCCATAGGAGCCTATAACCAACAATTGGTTCATACGCCATTTGTTCCCTCAGGAGCCCGGCGCTCATATGCACCACCAATTTGGAATCAGGGTTTTCCAACTCACCCAGATGGACTCTCCATTTCCATCAACACGGTTAAAGCGCCAGAAATCCCCTACTCGTACTCTCAATTTCGTAAGCATCACCTCACCGCGAGAAGGCAGTGAGTAGGACTTCCCTGGCAGTAGTTGTATGCACGTGGCCATGTGGCTGTACCAAGGCATTTGGGAGTTGTATAACAAAGTTTTTCAAAGTGCTGCGGCAGTATTTCGAAGGTCAAAAGTATATCCCGTACTTACTAATAACGAAAGTCACATGACTAAGTGTTCCTTAGCCTGAGTACCATAGCACAGTTAAAGTTTCACTGACATACTCGTCGAAAACTAGGCTTTAAATAAAATACACAACGCCACGCCTAAATTGCCATATCTTCTCTGGCATACATCCTACAGGATCCTATAGGTTTAAGTGTAGTTAAACCTACGAGACTAACTCACATTTACTGATTATCTTACCGGATACTGATACAAAGCCACTATCTACCCTCAATATTTAAGTGTCACTTAGAAACAAGGGTGTGAAATTAGACGGAACCTTCATGGTAAATTAACCTGGTTCTACACTTTGTAACTCCATACCCTGGAAATGCTGTGACAAAATTAGCGCCTTGGCAATGACCTCCAAGAAGAACGACAAGCTACAGACTTTATTTAACAGAAAGACGAATATTTCGATTCACGACAATGCAAAGTGTTTGTTCTATTCCCTGAGTACCCAAGGGTCAAAATTTTCAGTAAATAGTGGAAGAATGAAGGAAGAGTTACAACAGGGGTAACCTTTCGGAAACGCATGAACTTCTATTTCAACTATCAGACAGTCTTTATTTTATAGATGTATTATTGACAATTATTGTCGCTTGCTTTATTATCTAGTTTTAGTCGATTTTTTGGGCTTACTAAGTCGTCGCGCCCTACGTTTTTTCTCCCTTCACATTCCCCCGACACAACGCACCTGTAGGCTAGACATCAACCTTTTGAAAACTGAAAAATTTAGCATATCCTATCACCGTCGCCCACTGAGTGGAACTTCATGATTTACTGAGTAGGTGGTGCCTTAGGAACCAACTAAGATTGTTAAGATGAGAAAAAACGCTCTGTGACTAGAAGCCACTGCATCTATATCCGTTTTGTAAATATTTGTAACCACAACCGATTACCAACTTGTAGTTTATCCTTATCAAAAGAAGAACTGAAAGGAGTAGCGAATGAAGGCAAAATGGATGTTTACATTCTTCTTCAACTCTGAGTTGAATTTCATTCAAGCAAGAGGATTTGTATGATTTCAAGCGTCTTACATCCCTCCATTTTTGGGAAGGTCGAACTTCAGAACTCCTAGTTCAAACCAAAGTAGCCGTCAGAGGCGGAATTGTATGTCAATCGTATTGATGGCGGTTTATTTTAGGCTAATTAGTTGTTCCAAACTTGTGTCGCGGTAGTAAAGATCAACCCAGAATTTTCGGTTACCTCCAACCCTGTTTGTTAGTCAGTATTGAGGATTAGATACTTTAGATTGATTCATTTCTAAGAGCTGTGGACGGTCTGCAAGAAGTTTTTCAAGCCTTTAAGGAAGTACTAAGTTATGACTTAGTGGATGTTGTTTCGACCATCTCATACGGTGGTGAATTTCAAGATCTAACTACTTTAGAAATGAGATTGTTCACCCAAAAGACACCAGCCTAAACACTCAAAGAAGGAAGGAGATTATTGCTTGTATATAACCATGTCGAACCCCGAAAGTCATTCGGTCACGCAAGAGTTTCACCCTAAGTTGAGTCTTTTACGCTTACTTTTGTCAGGGAAGTCACGTCTGTACACGGCACTACTTCTCAACAAAAATGGCCGGTATTTTTCATACGTCATACAGTTTACTGTCGAATTTATTACACAGAGAGCCATACGTGACGCTATAATCTGAATAAGTGTCATACTAACGAGTGTTATCACACATACAAACCAACTTATGGTAATTTCTTATTACCTACTTGCTGTAATCTAGACAATCAACCTCCTATGTAAAGGCGTGTGTTTGATAGAAAGCATGTCTGCGCCTCAGTCTTTGTCTAGCTCCCCAATAGTTGTAAACACAGACAATCGATAACTTACATATACCATTGACTGACACCCAAAAAATACATATAGGTATTTCGACTTCTTATCGACATACACTCATTCAATTCTCAATGTGCTCTGCCTCTTGTGAGGTTGTAGATTTTGTCAATTATCAAAAATACACCTTCCTAACAACAGGTGTTCTGACTTGCGAATATTCCTGAGTAAGTTCACAGAATTACTGGGAGAACGGGCCTGCCTATTTACTGAGTTAACGGGATTAGGAATTAGCCCCTATAATCTACACTATTTTTTTCCCTCAAAACAGTTATGGAAGCAAATAAACCCCCAAAACAATTAAATCTGTAAATCATCAACATTGATTTTAAACGTGTTATTCTTACTGGATACACCTTTAAGTAACAGCGCTCCACCATCAGCATCAGGTTGCATTTGAGTGCGCCTTGCTGCGCATTTCATATGATGATTATTTATCTTATGTTCCATACATGATGGCACGTCGAACTTTAATCAAATAAACGTTCACATTTCATTAACCTTGACGCCCGGTTTTATTAGTTTTGGCATTATATAGTAAGAGGAAATCTCGAACAGTTTAGTTATCAGATTTTGTGTATCTGTGACATCTTCACTGACGAGCCTCAAAATGATCTGGCACGCTGAACGATGCACCATGAGCCTGTTCATTGTTGTAATGTTACATATCTTCTCTATATTGTGACTTGTTCCTAACATATTTTCCCCACTTTATCAAAACACACACCACAGGCTGTATGAATTAAACTTTTCTCGTTCCCCATACTACAACTCATGCCATCCTGGCTTGGTAATATGGAGGTCTGATTCTGCTGTACAGGAACTAACTTCCAGTAACAAGACTGGAGTGGTCCACGCCCACAGTTTCTTGCAGTAAACAGTGCAATACCATGAAAGTCAAACATATCACACCCAGTATGTTTACCGGTAGTATTCCAGAATCCGATGAGACCCTAAAATAGGTTGTGCATAGACCCCGAAGACGTAACCTACTGACAGAGATTAGATGAACGACTTCACAACATCAAACCATGACACGGCCCGACAAACGAAATTTTGTTCTCACTTAAACAATAAAAACGCAAGGTTTAGGAAAAGGATCTATTTTCAGAGAATTTATTATCAAACTGTACAATCGTATATACGTGTGCTAATTTTTTATCCATATTATTTCTGTCAAGATATATGAAAAAATAATAAGCACAATGATGTTACAGAACAAGTGAAATACTTGATGATGTTGTGTAAATAGTAATACTGATCTAGCACGCACGAACACATCTGCGCCCCGCTCAAACATCATAGACTCTCTACGTGTCCAGACGAAAATGGACTTCAATTTCAGTTTGCCTTCTTTTTCCCAATTTGCAGTTGTACTAGTTATATTTCCACCCTATTTCTTCACTTGAGGTAAAAAGGTAACTCACTGGACCTATCGATACTGCTCAACTAAACTCAGTCACTAAGGGACACTCACTACCACCCTAAAAAACCGGCAGAACCACACAAGCAACTGCCTTATTATTACAGTTAGAGAACAGTGTTACGCCAACACAATAAAAATTTATTTTGATTGTTGTTAAAAACAAACCTGACATGTTATTCATTGATTTAGTCATATTACTTGGTTAAACCAACTACCTTATATTCATTTTAAGCTGCAGAAACACATCAGACTAGTTACCGCCTAGTGTCAACTTCTGTCATTTCGGTGTCTTCTAAACTTAACTACTGACATAATTAATTAACTTCTGCATCGTTGAAACTAGTAATACGGTTTTAGTCATTTGAGGACTTTCGGTTAGTGCATGACGACCACATTTTTTGTTTCACTTTTATCCCCTTCACCTAGCAATATTAGTCTTTGTTTTATTTTACTGTAGCAAGTAAACAATTGTGCCCTCAGTCATAACAGGTAATGATACCGGTATTTTTCGGGCCGAAAAAGGTCGAGGTCTATAAAAATGGTTCAACATATCATTGGCAATATTACTTTGCGATAATTCTGTAATAATTCTCTGGATAGGATACATTCGTATCTCCCTTGCTGTCAGATACTAGAAGTAAAATTGGTGTATATAACTTGGTATGCTGGTATAATATTCAATTGGCGGCATAAGTGACTTCCTCTAAGGAATATCAAAGTATTGTGGTCAAAGAAATCTGATATTTGCAAAGGTAAATTTCAAGTAATTGATTTAGTGCTTTTGGTGGTGCAGCGACGATGCCAAATTTGGACAACTAAAAAATTCTGAGCGCCTTCCCCATAAAACACCTCGTTATTTTAAACAAGGTGCAAATAAACGGTCCTTGAGAACAAGACATTCATATGATAGTAGCTACATAAATATTCAAGCGCAAGTAATTACATGTGTCAAATACACAGTTTTGATTTCGCATCGACAGAAAATATGAATACAATTTAGGCAACGTTAAAGAGGCGTCAGATCATTGAGGATGACATCCAGCTTATCTAGTAGCTTGGAGTCGTTTACAAGTTCATTTAACTCACGAACAAAATGGTTCACTGTGTCAATTTTCCGTAATCCATTAGGTAGCCAACTCCAAATGACAGACAACTTATGCAAGAAACATTTTGTCGTACGTTAGACTCACAATGCTGTATTTTGACTAATCTGGTGTGGTTCTTTAGTTTATAATAATAATAATAATATATTTCTGTAATGGCAGGTACACGCCATTCTTACAGGCATGATCTATAAATCACAACATTTATTGTTTCACAGTATGCATGTCAAATATAGTCTGTAAAAGTGAATATCAGTTCATTCCTACAGATACAATGAGTAATCTTCAAAATATTCTCTGAAGTAGCATCGCGTCTACGTTACACACGAGATCTGATCTCCGCATTATTGTGTTAGGATTTTGGTCGTGCTAAGTGTTTATGCATTGCAACTTTTTAAGTTTATAGTTGTCATGAAGTAAACTTGTAGAGCGCTTGGTGTGAACTATGACCATGCGAAAACATGTACGTCTAGTTTTCTCCAGATGTCAGAAGTTCGATAGCTGTGCCCTCAGAGCATGATTCCGAAAGAAAAAAGAGAAACCGAGGGGCAGAAAGGCACATGGATATGAACGATAAACAAAACATAACATTTTGTAGTGGAACAGAGAAAGTATGATAAATTAGTTGATAATACTCATACTAGATATTCTAGCTAAAAAAATGAGATCGGAGGCTCCAGTTGAGGGAAAGCAGTAATAAATAACAGTGAGTTATGATATTTACGAAGGTGGAATAAGTTCAAATGAAAGAAAGGAAGTCAGGGTTGGAATAAGCTTATATATATGGTATGGTTAATTGTTGAACGAATAAATTATTGTGATCATAAACAAAAAAATATATACTTAAATTGAATCAATCGATAAACCACGTTGAACTTTTGCATAGATCGAAATATTTCATTTATTTTTTAAATAAGCGTAAATAGATATTCTTATGTTCTGATTGGTCGTTCAAGGTTAAGAAATGACACAGGAATCCTATTAATTCATACACAAACATTTTA